AAAAAAAAATTTGATAATGCGTTATGAGTTTTAAAAACGAACTCTTATTCATCTTTTAAAGCTATATTTCTAGTTAATCATTTATTTAGTACTCATCTATTGGTCGATTGAAGAAAATAAAATTATATGACAAAGTTTACCGGTATGGTTAAAGTTTAAAACCGTTGACCGCATCCTTTTTCATGGAAAATATGATACGTGATACCATTACCGTTCTCTAGCAATACAAAGCGAAAGGAAAAGCTGGAACAGCCGACTTGTCTACTGGTTTGGTTACCATGGATTCCATAAATCCTACAAGAAAATCTACGAAATCAAATTCTATCATTTGTGTATAATATTGTCGATTGTTTTGAATAAAAGCACAATCAACACAGATTTATTGATTTTCTTTGTAGTTTTGGTTTATTGTCGACAGAATTTAGAGTTAAGCTTAGTCCGCCATGTTGTTCTTGTGGAGAAGATCTGGTTTGCGCCTTTACTGCTGTTATTTCCGATTGATGCTTGTTGTCTCAATTTCTCTTCTAATCGGCGTTTTTGTTTTCAATATCCTTCTCGTAAATCAACGTCCAAGATTTGTGGAAAAAGATGAAAAAGGTGTGATCCCAGAAAATTTAGACGAAACTCTAAAGTTCTTCGAAGACAAAAGTGAAAAAATTCCAGTCTTCGCGCAACCGAAGAAGAAGAAGCGACAAAATCTGATAATTGTGGCCCATGGTCGATCGGGATCCACGTTTCTGGGAAACATTTTCAACAATCACCCATCAGTATTTTATCTATTTGAGCCTTACCAAACAGTTGAAAGATTGGTTCCTTTCCAGCCAAGAAACAGTCAAGATTATCGTGACACAGCCTTTGGCTGGATGAAAGGCATTTTTCGTTGCGATTTTGTGTCCTCAACGCACGTAGACGATCTTCAGTCATACTATCGCAAGGAATATCCCGCAAACTATAACCCTTTCAAAAGCCTGACACTTCTTTCACCGCCATTTTGTATTTACAACACGACAGATCGTCGATGGAGTTTAGAAAGCTGTCCACCGCTGGACCGAGATACTATGGATGACTCTTGTAAGACACAATATAGTATGACTGTGTTGAAAGTTTTGATCTCGCGAATGCCTGATACAAATCTAAAACAATTGCTGACAATTTGTGACACGGATCAATTTGACTGTAAGTTCATCTTCCTGGTTCGAGATCCGCGGGGAATCATTCCTTCCTCGAAAGCTGTCGGGTTTTATGGGGATAATGACCAAGTTCTATTGAACGGAACACAGAGGTTTAGCCAGGAGATTTGTGATGCCACGTACAAAAATTTGAACATTATTCGATATTTGGGGTCACAAATGAAAAAGCGATTTATGTTGTTGCGATACGAAGATTTGGCAGTGAACCCTATGGAAATGCTACCAAAACTGCTAGACTTTGCAGGGCTTCCAGAAGATGAGAGCTTAACAAGATGGCTTTACCTTGCGTCCCACTCGCCTGAAACGGAAAACGAACAGACTGCAGCAAGATGGCGGCAAGATTCCAAACAGGGCGCCGAAAGATGGCGTTGGAAAGTAAAATCCTCAATTATCTCTGTTATCGAGCATTACTGCAAGGACGTGATGGAGACTCTTGGATATATACCTGTAAATGGCTCTTACCAGATCCAAAAAAATCTTACAATCAGCCTACTTGAAGAATATTATGACGCGTTACAGTGGTTTCAATAGAAGCATTACGTGCAACCTCATACGACTCTTACGAATGAAGGGTTTACGATAACTATTTAAGTCTCAGGTTTGAAAAGCAAAAAAAATTCTTGGATATTTTCATCATTAATTAGGCAGACTTGTCTTTAGAGCTGAGAATTGACGTTTGCTTGATATTGTTTTCATCTGTATGATTTTGTTGAATTTCAGTTTATACGGCCATATTAAGAACATGTTTCGCATCACCGAGGCTATTTCCAGATTCTAGCCAATGTATTGTCTAAGTCATCGAACTCTTTTCATTACCTGTAAAATCTATAGATTAGGCGTTAAATTGATACTTATTTAATGTTTTTTTTTTTGTTCAAAGATTTCAATAAATTCACCTGAACAACAACCTGTGGAGTTTCGTCGCGTAGATTCTTTTTAGGCTTGAAAGAATGTTTAAGCAAAGCAGTTTTCTTAGGGCTTAGCACTTCCTAAACAACAAAAACGCCATCATATTTCAGTTGAAATCGAAATGTTATCCCCTTTTTAACAATTCTGTGGTCAAAAACCCAGAACTTATGTACACTAACCATCGTTCTCGATATTGAAAATAAAAATAAAAATAAAAAATCATTTTTCTTTCGGCAAGGAAATAAATGAACTGAAAATTCAAATCAAGCCTGGAGGATTTTAAAGACAAATATTTAATCGGTTTAGCTGAATGCTGCAAGAATCAGAACGAAAGGCAAGTTTAAGGTAAAATTTTGAAAATCCAGAGATTTACTAAAAATATAGAGATAGAAAATTGCTTTGTCAATTTAAAATTAAGGAGCTCGTCACTAGTCGAGTATCCACATTCTGAGTGTTGAACTGCTGGTTGTCACGATTAAATCTTACCCTCCTACCCCATGAGGCCCTGTAATGATTTCCTCCCCATTATAGCGGTTAATTAGCTGCCAAATTTCTAAATTCCCCCCTAATAATAATTATTGTAATAATAATAATAGTCTTTATTAATTCACAAGTTAAAAACTGCATATTTTATGTTACAAACATTCCACAAAATACCACTTACCAACCTAGGTCATATTCAAAAATTAGGCGATTAAAATAGGAGTTCGATAGGTCGATGTTTTCTAAGAGGATGTTTCTCTTGATATTTTACCTTACCGAAAATTGTGTCATCTTTTCTTATGTTTTTAACTCTGTTGACGACTGATCCCTTCCTTTTTCTGCTGAAAACCACATAATCCCTCCCAAATACCTATAGGTTTTCCTTTATCTTATGAGAGTCTTA